AGGAGGAGGAGGCGGAGGAGGAGGAGGAGGAGGAGGAGGAGGAGGAGGAGGGGGGGGCGGAGGACGGGTCGCCAAAGCCCTTCGGAGAAACCCTCCACCAGGCTCCCGTGACCTGCTGCCGACGGGGGGGAAGGGCCTGCGCCGAGGTGGGCAGGCCCCGCGGGCCGCAGGACCCACGGCGGAAGGCTTGGGTCGGGCGTGTCCTCCGACAGGCGGATTCTGGACGAAAAAATTGAAGATAGTCAAACATACTCAAGACAAACTCAAAACGTACTCAACGCATACTCAAAACATACCCAAGTCAATACTCAAAACACCATTCAATATAGTCAAAACATACTCGAAGCATACTCAAAACAACATTCAAGACAGTCAAGTTTGAAGATAGTCAACACATACTCAAATCAATGCCCCAGATTACCCAACCAAAAATCGTCCCCGGGCTGTGTGTTGACTATTTGGGAATCTCCCTCCAGCAGAGGGACAGCTTAGCAGAAGGCCCCCCCGCAGGTGACCAGCACTCGCCCTCGGAGAGGACGAGCGCGCGAGAAACAGAAGAGCCAAGAAGAAGCCTCTCGGTGGAAGTCGCAGCTCGGCGGCGAGCGAGGAGAGGAAATGAGAAGGAGAGGAAGGAGGAGGAGGAGGAGGAGGAGGAGGAGGAGGAGGAGGAGGAGGAGGAGGAGGAGAGAGAAGGCCTTCTCAGAAGGCGGCGGGACTTCTCGGAAGCCCTCGCGCCTTCTTAGAAGTCATGTTTTTGTCTTCGGGGAAGGCTTCGAGAACTTCTCAGAAGGCCTGGGGAAGCCGAACCTTCTGAGAAGGCCTTTTCCTTCTCACTTCACCCCCCTCGCTCGCCGCCGAGCAGCAGTCCCAGCACTACATCAGCTACCACAGGTACCAGTACCAGAGGAAGCAGACGCCACCGTGGAATGCAAGATGGAGATCGGCGTCAAGAGGACGAGAGCCTACGACGGGAACGAACGACGAGAAGAAGACCGAGACCCCGCACACAGCGAAGCAGTTGGCAGCATTGGCGGAGATACCACCAACAGCCATCGCCGAAGCCATGAACAGCGACATGATACACGTACGGCTGAAGATAAGAACATTCACGGTTGGCTCGCTCGGCGGACAGCATCAACGGACATCCGCAGGGTCTCCGAGGGGCATCCAAGAGGCCTCTGGCATTTCTGCTCGCCCTCCTCCTCCACCTCTTCCCACTCCTCCTCTTCCTCCTCCTCCGCATCCTCCTCCTCCTCCGCCGCCTATTCCTCCTCCTCCTCCTCGTCCTCCTCCTCCTTCTTCTCCTCCTCCTCCTTCTCCTCCTTCTCCTCCTCCTTCCTCTCTCCTCCCTCCTCCCCCTCCCTCCCTCTCCTCCATTCCTTCTCCTTATAGATAACTCCTCCCTGTCGCACCCCGAGGCCAGCTTTTAGGGCGGGCCGGGCGTTTCGCCTGAGACTTCCTCACCACTTATGACTCTGAAGCTTGAGAAGTGACAACAGCTTCACAGATAGAGGGCGGGTCGCTTTCAATATGTGGCTCTCGCCTTAGCGCCGCGCACATTCGTTTTCAACAATTGCAAGAGTTTCACGGATTGAGGGCGGGTGGTTTTCAAAATGTGGCTCTCGCCTTAGCGCCGCGAAAAAGTGGCTCTCGCCCTAGCGCCGCGCACATTTGTTTTCAAAATTTGCAAGAGCTTCACGGGTTGAGGGCGGGTGGTTTTCAACATGTGGCGCTCGCCTTTGCGCCGCGCACATTCGTTTCCAATTTTGAAAGAGCTTCACGGATTGAGGGCGGGTGGTTTTCAACATGTGGCTCTCGCCTTAGCGCCGCGCACATTCGTTTTCAAAAATTGCAATAGTTTTACGGATTGAGGGCGGGTGGTTTTCAAACTGTGGTTCTCGCCCCAGCGCCGCGCACATTCGTTTTTTTATTGCACGAGCTTCACGGATTCCGATGATCTACGTACCAAAAAACATGTTTTGGATGATTTCTGGATTATGCGGGCGCAACACTGATGTTGATCCGCTGTGTTGAAATCCCAAAAATGGCGTTCTGGCACGATTCTGGATCGTCAAAACGCAACAGTCAGGTTGATCCGTGGCGTTGAAATCCAGAGAATAATTTGCTGGCACGCGTCATAGTCTTCAAACGGTTGTCTTCCAACGAGGCAGTTCCCTCAAGGGAAATGAACCGTTGTGGGGGCCTATGAAGAGGGAGCTTGGAGGGAGGGTTGATTCCAACATCGTTGATGACTCTTGGGTTTCCACTGGTCCTCCTCCTCCTCCTCCGATTCCTCCTGCATCCTCCCCCTCTTGCGGTATGACGCCTTCCCCAGCCCTCCATTACGCTGCGCGCTCCTCCGCGTGCCTGATCAGGGCACCTCGCCTGGGCAGCACCCCCGTGTGGGCCCGTGGCGCTCCGCGGAGACTCTCCGGCACTTCCGGCAGGAGCCCGCTGGCCGATCCCGGGCCGACGGCCGCTCTTCTGGCTGTCCCTGGCACGACGACGTTGAAGCCCCAGGACACACAAATGAATACACACAAAGAACACGATTCCCCATATTTCCCCATACTTTCTGGGTTTTTGTCTTCCCCCCCACTTCCTATATTTTCCCATATTTTCTGGGAAATCGACGATTCATTGTGTGTGTGTGTTTCTTTCCCTCCTGAGACGTCGTCGTCATCGTCGCCGTCACCCCGGGCCCGGCCAGCCTGTGCCATCTTGGCCTGGTGTGCGGCCATGGCCTGCTGCATCGCGGCCGTGCCCTGCGGGTTCGCCGCCTCGCATACAGGACGACAGTAACAATAATAGTAAGAATAATAAATAAATATAATAACCCTCCTAATACTCTACTTAATCAGAATCCTCATCTCACTAACTATACTCTACTCAATAATACTCTAATACCATCCTCCTACTCCTCCAACCCTTCTCCTCCTCTCCTCCTCTCGCCCCTCATCCTCCCCTCCTCCTCGTCCTCCTCCTCCTCCTCCTCCTCCTCCTCCCCATATACGCTCCTGTCAGAACCATGCAGTAGGGGCTCGACCACAAGAGACCTTCCACAAGAAACCCAACCCTGAGACCCCAGGACGTCCATGGATTTTTGGTGTGGGAACGTCACGCTTGCCATCGCAAACCATCGAAACGCAAGAAACCCAGGGCACCCTGGAGGCAAGCAGGGTGTTTCTTGGCATGGGCCCCACTGTAAGCCTCGGCGGCAGGGGAATGCTATGTTTCCGACGCTGTTCGGCGCAAGTCTCATAGGCAGCGAAGAGATTCGTGTAGTAGCGCATTGTAACACGTCGCGCGTGCGAGTTGACCTGAAAGGATCGTTCTCCGCTGGTCTGCAAAGTCATTCAAGACTCCGCATGGGTTTCGATTGCACGCGTGGCACCGGAAAGATGAATACATGTGCACCGTGCGTCGTGGCTCTTGCTTGATATTGCTACAAATGGTGAGAAGCGCTATCCAAAACGGCGACTGCAACTACGTCAAACAGGCGCTCTTTGAGAATAATTGCCGATATGCTACATTCGCATCCCAACGAAATAAGAACAGGGCAAACCGATCGTCGAACCAGAGACGTTCATGCTGATGCAGATTAACAGGAAGATCAAAGCGACGCTCTTGAGTGTCATCAAACAAGAGAACTCAGGCACGGGCACGGAACCCAGCGCGTCAGAGGACGCGCCGCAGATCTCGAGAGGATCGTAGCAGAAATGCGAGCTAGAAGTCATAGGTAAAATCGCAGAGAACATCGGAGCCCAGCGGAACACAGGTTACACTCGGAGATCCAGTAGCGAATCCAGGACGACCCAAGACCACGTCAGAGACGGAGGCCTGCAAGAACCCGACATGCTTAGATTACCAGGCGGTCGCCCGAGAACGCACAATAGCTTCTGGGCATGCTGGAGCATCCGACGAGGCACACCGCAAGATGATCCCAAAAAGGAATGCAAGTTCGCTGATCCGAGAGCCCAGGAAGTCAACTGGGGACCTCGGGCACGCGCTGGCCCCAAGCCCCCCTGGAGGCCCCCAAATGCGTCCAGGACGGCAGAGCTGCACGGTAAACTGGCACGGCAGACGAGCGGGGCAGACCAAGCAACGACCAGAAGAACGACCAGAGGAACGACCATAGGAACGACCAGACTTTACGCGTTCCGGACGTGAACCCCGCGAAGCGAGAGACATCATCAAACATCGACCAACGGTTTGGAGCACCCCGGTAACGTCCATGCCAAACTGGCCACAAAATGGAGAACACAACGGAAGGTTCATGCTTGGTGGCGAGAGCGAGGGCCTCAATCTACACTCTCTTAGGGTGTTCCGGTTTTCGTCCCCCCACACACACACACATCGCCACCCACTCAGCTGATTGCTACCACAGTAGCCAACGACGTCGATAGTAGACATACTGTAGACCACACGATGAGCACCGTAGCTGAGGCTAGGCAACAACTTCCCTCCTTCTCTTCCCTCAACTCGTCGTACTGTACTGCTCCCCATCGTTCTGAACTCTGGCCTCTTCCTGCTTCTGCTATGCCATGCTCTCCCTCCTCTAGTCTCCTCTTGACTCCTGCCTTAGGACTCCTGTCCCCTTTATTCTGCTGCATCCTCATCCTCCTCATCCCTTTCGTCGTCTTCCTCCTCCTTCTCCAGGTCTCCTTGCTACTGTCTTCTCCTCGTGCCATCTGCCTCATCCCTCCTCCTCCTCCTCCTGACCTGCCGTCCTATGATATTGATGCATTCGTCCCCTGCTTCTACCTCCACATCCACATCCTCATCCTCGTCATCGTGGTCGTCATCGTCATATCATCCTCTTTCTCGTCATCACTACCATGATGTCCTCGTCTCTCCTCCTCCTCCTCCTCCTCCTCCTCCTCCTCCTCCGCCCTCCTCCTCCTCCTCCTCCTCCTCCTCCTCCTCCTCCTCCTCCTCCTCCTCATGCCACCGCCTTCCACCTCCTCACTCACGTGGCCCAACCCATTCGGCGCAGAAAACGGCACGAGCCGTGCTGGACGCCTTCCCGGGGTTGAGGTAGTCCGTCGTCGCAACCCCCTGCAGCCTCAACCGCACCGCCATCAGCAGAGAAAACCCGATCCTGCCTCTGCCCGTGCCACTCCTCCTGCCCAGCCTCGAATCCGAGGACAAGAGGCACGATGAGAAGGAGGAAGGCAGGAAAGAGCAGGGAGGGAGGGAGGCAGGAGGGAGGGAGAGGAGGGAGGGAGGGAGGCAGGAAAGAGG